CAGGACCTTGGTAAAGTAAGAAGACGATCCGAATTGACCTGGGTCGCTTGCACGACCGAGTGCCACCCTCTTCGGAGAACATTTCAGTTGGGCGGAGAGTGGTACGAGTGGGACTACAAAAACATAGAGCGCTGATACTATCGCACCCGAAACCTTCATTAGATCTGGTTCACAGATCAAAAACGAGCAACAGGACACAGGGCACACTCCGTGACGCCACAGGTGAGAGCTGAATGTCAAGGGGCCGAGGTGGAAGTATGCAACGGGTGTGTTTATGGTTTTGGTGGTGGAACAAATCTACTAGCATGGAAAGGTATCGGTGTGCTTAAAGTGGTCGTACAACTGCACCATAAATCCATGAAAATGACAACTCCCGCATTTCACGTGATCAGCGCGCAAAGTATATACAACCGCTTTTGGTAACCAATCTGTTCTCCAAATCGATTACTTACAGATTTCCTTGTGGCCATGATTCCGGCTGTCATCCAACTTGACTTGTGATTCCCGAGAGTACTGTAGGCGTGGAACATGAGGAACGAAACCAGGCTGTCCACCTGGTTTTAGCTGACGTTTAGGTTATTTGCTGTTTCTATCTCCGTGTCTCGTTATGAACTCATGCAGAAGCCAGAAAATTAAAACGTTCGGAAATATTTCTTCATTTTCGCTGAGACAAGACGTTTCTGAGACGCAGAAATTAGTTCAGTGAAACTTCAGTCAGCTAGTACACAAAAATCCAGAAATAATTTTTGTTGTGGGATCTAACTCTCGCAGTCTGTGATCACCGTCGGGTCTTCCAGCTGCAAAATGAGGGAAATCGGTGGTTGTGGATGCAGCAGGAGTATTGATTATCTAGAGCTCTTCTTGATATATTCTTATAAATTGGGTGAAGGAGAATCCAAACGTCCTAACAGAAGAATTTGCTGTATCGTATCGTTCATGGTATCGATGAAAGGAAGACCAAGTCGGGCAGGCGTGCAAGAGAAATCTAACGTTCGCATTGCCCTTCATTAGACTGTATAAAGCCTTGTTGTCATGTCGACTGGGGTGGCGCTTTTCAATTCAGAGGCAATTTCCTGCCAGCCCCTTCTTAGCTCAAATCTCACAGGCCATAGTTTCTGACATCGCATTGCTCGGGCGCTTTAATATCAGGCTGTTCATGTGCGTCACACGACATTCGCGTAACGAATGGTCGTACCTGGTACCTATTCTTTTGGTCTGCGCATGATGTAAGGACACAAGGCCTCATTGACGATGTCCAGAATATGACCAATTATTCAGTCACGCAGGGGATCAGAGGAACCTGATTTTACAGTTAGCCAGGGTGGCTGGTGGAGTCCTAACAAATGAAAGTGACTACCTCAATATACCAAAGTTATTGAGCATCGAGATTTCGTGATGGGTTGGTTTTCGTAAATGACTTGAGGCGTGGGCGCAGTTCAAACTCACAAGCGTGTGGTCTGAATTATGGTCCCTGTACGCTCCAGTTTAAAGCGCATATCGGGAGTCGAGAACTGTTTATACAGGCGGGTGACCACCGCTTCCATATGGTTTAGTGCCCCCGATAACAGTCGACAGGATATAAAACCCTGGCTTACTGGCCAGGAGGGTGAGTGGCTCAAGCCAAGGCCTTCCTGGCCTTTAGGTGTGGTAGGGCAAATAAGTCGGAAATTGTCATTTGAGTCTTCGCCTCGTCAGCAGCTCTACTCAGTCATATGAGGTTCGCACGGACTGGTTCACTAGTTCCGGTGAAGAGGAATATCCCTTGGTGAGAATTCAGATCTTTGTTTAGGAATATCGATCGGGCTCTCCTGAATTTGATACTGCAAACTTTGTCATCTGGCCTGGTTTTTGGCCATGTCAGTAATAAATGTAATTAATGCATTTCTTCTAGATTTTAGAACATCTTTGCGTATGCACGCGATTTTTGGGGTATTGTTCAGCTAGAAAGACAAAGACGCGAACTTTTTCGGCTCGACCTCAAAAACAATGGGAATAAAAATTCTCCCAAGACAAAAAGTGATTTTTTCCATTTTGAAAGTCCGCAACGGTATGGAGAAGGACCCTACTTTACTGCCGGTAGACTGTAGATTGTATCTTACGTGACTGGCGATAAGGGGGGTTGTATGGATGGGTCAGCGCACTAGACAGTAAGCTGACGAAATGCAGGAAAAAACAGGAATCGTTTGGATTTCTCTTGAAAGACTCATCGCACGCTTTTGTACGATAACGGAAATGAGCGCTGTAATCAAGAATAAACAAAAGGTAGATTTCAAAAACTAAAGGAATTCGATTGGTGGTTCGAAGTCATGGGAAGTGATTGTTATTGGCAGTGTAATGTCCGCAAATGCCTGAGGATGGATGCCAAGATAAAAGCCCTTATGGCATGATTCACAATCGACCGAAATTTAAGTGGGATCCTCCTCCATACCATTACCTAAAAGTCCACTATAACTATACTTTCGCAAAAGTGTATTTGTTACTAGAAATAACCATCATTAAAATTCCGGGCGTAAAAAGTGCCTTCAACAACTTTTTATCTGACTGTCGTCACAAGCAACCTGTTTTTTTCTTGTGATTCCATCGGCCCTAACAACGTTTGATGGAACGTAGGCTCAGAGCCTAGACATTGGACTTCAGTCAGTCCTAAAGGCAACTAACCCACGTTTCCTTTCAAAGGCTTCCAGCACTGTGACTGATGGTTTACTGGTCCCTAAAACGGGCTCATTACGTTTGAACTAAAACTGGTTCAACGTGTTTTCATCAAACTGGAGGTAACGGATAAAACTTGGTCAATCGGTTCGATCATTATCGTCCTCAGTCGGGTTAACCCACCTCACTACTGGTACAGGAGGGGAGAGGAAGGGGCGAGATGGATCTTGCTACGCGAACTTTTTTTCACTATAATACCGATGCTCTTTTTCTTAGCTATCACAATGGATAAACGGGGGTGTCTTGCAAGGTCACTATCTGACTGGATAACTTCTACCTTTAGGCTGGGACATAACTTGTAGTAACTACTTCCAAGTGTGACTCCATTCCAGCTCTCGTCAATTTAAGGGTAAATGTGGGTGTATGAGGATTTAGGGACCAACACGTACGTTGGACGCATGCGTAAGAAATAAAACGGTCTATGCCTGTAATTAAAGGATAAGTATACATGGATATATACGCGAGTAGAATTAGAAGAAACAAAGTAACCACGAGTATTCAGCCTGACGATAAACTGTTACTGGAGGTCGTGTCAAGGTTTTTACAAGTCATATTTCTAGCGCACTAGAACAAAATGCATTTCATATCACTACCATACCCCTATAGGAGAACAGATTTCGAATGTGTAAAATGCATGCGAAGTGGACAGGTGTTAAGCACACTGTACAAGTCTGTAACGCTCAGGGAAAAGGACGCGACGACCATTGTACTTAGGTAGTGGAATCGGGAGTGAAGGGGAATGCACAGGGTTATTAGGGGTAAGCGGGGGCGGCAAAATCGGAGACGACGGCGGATCTGTTGGGGTGAGCCATAGAGGGTCGGTATACGCCACCTTCGACCAATCGATTGATACCACTTCGATGCGGCTGTCACGGACGATTTTGACATGCCTGTCCGTGCGCTACAGGACATAAAACGGTCCGTCGTAGGGTCGTTGTAGTGGCTTACGAACACCATCTACGCGGACAAATACAAAAGAACATGTTAGCAAGCTAGGGTCAATGGATGACTTACTTTCTGGAACGCGTGGGGGCATGGCTCGGTGATTAACTATTGCTTGGCGCAACCGTTTAACATTATCGGTAGCATCTAGATCGGCAAAGTTTGGGATAGCTTAAAAAACGCCGCAGATCTGTAGGGTAGTCGCGTAAATAAGTTCGGCAGTGGAACACCCCAAGTCAGGTTTGAGCGCTGTGCAGATACCGGGTATGACTAAAGAGGGATGCTTGCTCCAGCGAGTGGGGTTGTCATAGGCCCCGAGAGAGGCTTTGAGTTGACGGTGGAAACGCCCAACTGGACTGCTGGATGAGGGATGGTAAACTATCGTGCGTATACGAGAGCATCCAAGGAGGTCAGAAAGGACATGAGAAAGTCTAAATTGAAATTGACGGCCTCGGTCGGTGGCAGTAGTCGTGGGGATGCCATGGTGGTAAATCCTGTGTTTCAAAAAGGCACGAGCAACAATATCTTCAGCGATGTTTGGGATTGGAGTTGAGATGGGCAATCGCGTAAATCGGTCAGTAGCAGTGAGTAATAAGTTGCAACTACGGGATGTTGGCAAGGAACCCACGAGATCTACGCGCACCTGCGCAGAACATGCATCGTGTTAAAGAAAGATCTCAATTAGGGCTTTATTTTGACGTCCGATTTTGGCTTTCCGGCAGGCCAAACATTGGCGAGTCCACTGGCGGATATCGGTGTTCATGCTAGTCCAGACAAGACGTTCGCTTACGAAGCAATGAATGGCCCGGATGCCAGAGTGGTGGAGATTGTGTAACGCGGTGAAAACATTTTGTTGTATCTCAGTTGGTACTATAGGGCTAGAGAAACCGTGAAACAAATCGCACAAGACTGAGTTGAAAGTAGCGAACAGAGGGATGGCTTTAAGTTGAAGGCTAGTATGCTCCAGTTGTTTGGAAAAATTCAGCTGCTGCTATAGTTCGGCCATACGCTCTAAGTCGATGGAAGGACAGGTAATTAGATTAATTCCAGGTCGGGGTAGGCAGTCGACGGCCTTTAAGAAATCGAATATGTATGGTATATTGAAAAATAAAATCAAGATGGCGGGTCTCGCGGAGTGAATACTTGTTAAAGGAAGTGCAGAAGGCATAAGCAATAGGTTTAAGATGAGTGTAAATAAAAAGATATCTGCCCTCAACACACTTACGAAAATTCCTAATGGCAGGTTAAGTGACAGGGAATTCTCTACCGAAAGTGCTATAAGGAACTCGGAGCGGTGTCAGTTTAGCAGAGTAGAAGGAAGGTGATTGGATGCCCGTTGGGGTCTGTTGCTAGAGGGCTGCATCTATGGCGCAAATGGAGGTAACAACAACAATGGAGAGCGGGGCACCAGTTAAAAGGTGAGAAACAGCAGTTGTATCCGAAAGCGTCTCTTTGACATGTTCGAAGGCGTCCGCAGCTGTCAGGAAAAGAAAATTTGAGTTGTTGCCCCTTAAATGATTTGTGAGGTGTAACATTAATTGAGGGTAGTGAGGGATGAACTGTCGGTAAGAACTGGCAAGACCTATTAAACAGCGCAGTTGTCGGAAAGAAGTGGGAGCAGGAAATTCGCGAATGGCTGAAACTATGGCGTCTACTGGATGACAGCCGAAGGCATACATGCTGTACCCTAGGAACAGGTGCGAGGGAACGCCAAAAACGTATTTGGAGGAGCTGATGAAAATGTCAAATTGGCCCAGCCACTCAAAAAAGGAGAGGTGGGTGTTGAAGGTGCCGATGTTCACTGAAACTTGCAACTACAAGATCACCAACATAAACAATAACGAAAGATAAGTCGCGGAGGACTTCTTTAATGAAACGTTGAGAAGTTTGGGCGGAGTTACTGACTCCAAAAGGTACCTGACGAACTCGAAAAGACCAAATGGAGTCGTAATCACCGTTTTTGGGGTGTCTTCTGGAGCAACGGGGATTTGGTGAAAGGTTTTTACTATATCAATGCTGGAAAATATTGTTGCACCGGCTAGGCTAGAAGAAAAGTCATGGAAGTGGGAAGCAGACATCTGTCAGGGACAGTGCAGTTAGTTACTCGTCGGTTATTACCACATGGACGCCAGGCCGTGAGAAACTTTTTGCAAACCATATGCAGAGGGGAGGCTTATGAACTAGTGGGGAACCGCACTATGTCAAGCTCCATCATATGGCTGAATTCAACCTTGGCGATAGTTAACTTGTCATCCGCTAAACGACGATGACGGCTAAAAACGGGTGGTCCCGTAGTCGAAATATAATGCATGACCGAATGTTTAATAGGCTGGTCAAACTGTGAAGGACATGTGATAGATGTAAATTCTGAGAGAAAAAGATGGTAGGGAGTGGACGGAGCAATTGTTTAAATGCATGGACTAGGGGATGAAATGGTATGAGTTGAACAATTAGAATATAAGGATATCATCGGGTCAACAAGTTCATGGAAGCTGGTACCAACAAGGAGACTGAAAAAGGATATAAAATAGACCCCGAAAATGGCGGTATGAACATAAGCAATAGTAAATACCCCGCGGAAAGGACGTCATAGCCCAAAGTCTAGAGCTGGGGATAGTTAACGAAATGCTTTAATGGGAGTACTATTAACTGTCTGGAGAAAAGTTGAAGAGTTGGATGAGTTACGGTCAGTCGGAGAGAATGTCAGCACCAGTGTCCACGAGAAAATTACGGGAGGAACTCCTGTCGAAATTATGGAGCAGACGACTGGGGGAAGTTGAGCCGACCAAGTTCGTCGCCGTAACTGGCCGGCGGGTGAGTTTTCTGCCGAAGATTTCTCGTAACGACATGGGATTGACGGGAAAGGGCAGTTAACCTATAGGTGTGGTGGTACCAGCAGAAACCGTCAGGCGTGGACGGGTCTAACACTGAAGTGAGAAACCTCTGACAGCGGGTGGTGCACGGACTTCGACGGCGAGAGACATGTGAGGCATGAAGATGGGAAACTTCAAGGGTGAGGTCGTCTAGACGTTTCATAGCATTCTCGATTGTTGGCACAGTTTGCGCAGTTGTGAGACGACTGGCAACGTTTACTGTAACGGTAGGCCGGTAGTAATCGAGGATGCGGTCAGCAGTCTCCGCGAGCATCTGGACAGACGAAGAAGGGATGTTAGGCGCCAGGACAGTTTGTACAGAAGAGAGCAGTCGCTGGAGGAAAAGTTGCTTGAACATGGTGACGTCAAGATTTTGTCCGTCCGCCAGCTGCTCTAAAGAAGCTGCGTAGGCTTCCTGTCATCAAGGTCCTCCTCGGAAATTTAATACTGCAGACGTTTTTGCATTGATAGGGAAATGCGGGAAATGGGAGCCTCCTTTAACGCAGTATATGGGGCTTTTGTGGATGGGCAATTTATGATGTTGCAAAGGACCGTGGCAACCTGGAGTGCTGCCACAACGCAGTGAAATGTCGTATCTTCTCATATAATCTGGCGGAGGGGGGAACAGGATTCTACAAAGCGCAGCAGCAACGCGATGTGTCACCAAGCCACACGGATGGAAGGTCGAAAGCGTGAATGCCGGTTCTCGGCTGGCTGGTAGAATTGTTGGACATGATTAGGCGATGACGGTCAGAGGTCATATAACTGAAGCAGATGACTGGCGTGTTGAAACCGAGAGTGAAAGTGAGCACTCGTATTGGGTGAAAAGGTGAGGCAGTGGGGATAGGAAATAAGGTCTGGCTAAAATAATATGGTCAATAAAAGTGGGGCGGAGATGAATCCGAATGGAAGTAGTTACGCACAGAAATGAGACATGCACAAGTGTATACGCGAGTAGAATTAGGAAAAACAATGCGCAGGACCGACTTATATGGTCCCCTAAGCAGGATATTGGAATAGGAACGCCCCGACAAAGTAATAAAGCTGGACCTGCGCATGATTCCGGGAAAGGCAAAATATTCCCGCGTCCTAACCCCAACAATAATCCTGAAATAAAATTAGACCATTGCCCTAATCTTAACCATAACTCTACCATAAACCTTACCTGTGCCGTTAATACTAGTCCCTACCTTAATCCTAAACCTGATCCTGACCTACCTTACCATTAACTTTAAATCTACCATAAACCCAATCCCTAACCTAATCCTAATTTCACTGGAAGTTGGCTCAAAGCCACCCGTGTCACAAGCGGTTCCTGTTATCAGGTCTTGTTTAGGGGGTCATACAAGTCAGTCTTATCAAAACAGAGTAGCCTCGAGAATGCAGCCTGACGCTAAGTTGTTAGTGGAAGCTGTGTCAACGTAATGGTAGAATGTGGTTTGGCAGCCCCACCTGATGAACACAATACCGTTGGGGTTAGGGTTAACGGCTAGGGTTAGAGGTCAGGGCTAGGGGTTATGGTTATGGTTAAGGTTAGAGGTCAGCGTTAAATGTTAGGGTTTAGGATTAGGGGTTAACGCAACCATTTATCAACCATTCAACGTACAACCGCGCATTCCCAATAGCTTTTTTTGCATGCAACTACTTGACCTCGTCGCCTGTGCGTTCCTCGGCCCCACCTGTAAAACTCCCTATTACCACCGGTCTCGTATTAGAGGTGACTGGGCTTTGTTTACTCCAGGTGGGGCTACCAAACCACATTCGATCAAAGTTTTTGCAGGTCATACCTTTGGCGCACGAAAACAAAACGCCTTTTCATGTCAATACACATTAGTCGGTCACCATGCTCAGGCCAGTCACTGGATGTCTCGACTCGATGTTGGCAATGGAGTAAGAAAGCGAATGAAGTCGATTTTGCTCAAGTCTTCCTCACTTTATTTTAATTTTCTCTCGCGTCGTCACTGCTGCTCTGGTGTTGTAGGGGTTCTTGTCGTGTTAAATGAACGAACTGTCGTTGACCGAGGAGCTCAATAAACTGAAATAACCCCTCCGAACTTTTCCTGTTTCTGGTATATCAATTTCGAGCAGTTTAAGGTCACCAATGTATGGCCGCTTCCGAAAACCTAACGTGTATTTCGGAGCGAAATAAACAGTGTGCTTTATGCGGCAATCGGACCAGGATTAAGCAGAAATCTTTGGTTGTTGAGCCTGAAAGATTGCTAGTAAATGCAGGCATTTAAAGACTGACATAAGGGGAATTTAAAGTTTCAAATAGTCTAAATCTACAAATCCTTAAAAGTTCGATTTCGGAGTTACCGTGACCTTAATTTTAATCCAACTCACGACCATTTTCAAAGTCACCACCTCACTAAGGGCTTTAACAGAAAGTAAGGGTGATATGTTCAGCTAAGCGAGTCCCTCATCGGCTGGTTTGAAAAAAATACTAACATGGGCCCTTCAACTGTCATTTTTGAAGGCCTAGGGTGACAGATCTATTTCGAGGAATTATAGATCTGTTGGATGGATTCTACACAAAACTCCCCGTAATAACGATGGACTTAGACAAAAGTTCGAGCAGCAAAATGTTCTACTGGTTGACGAGCGACTTCAGCTATCCTGGAGCTTCCGCAAAATTGCCAATATTCAGTCGTAAGTTTTATAAGCAGAATAAAAGTAGGCCAGATCGCAGTTGGTAGCCAGACCCCCTATTAACTGTAGATTAAGGCCCCCTAATTCCTCAAACTAAGGAAGATGTTGAATACGGGCGCCCTAAACCAAAAACTCTATCCAGATTACAGTTTTACTCTAGCTGCAAAATCTCCGACAATCGCATCCATTTTCCAATCTTGGTGAGGAAAGCTGCTTCCATTTTGTTCGTTTAAGAGTTTGGAGAGGGTATGGTATGTCACCCCCTGGGGAAAATGTATTTAACTAGAACCCTAACGTCTGTAAGGAGTGGCCCCCACCCCTTAACCCATAAGCCTTTAAGGAAGAATCATATGTAATCCTAACCCTAGCCCATGCATAACACTTAAACTCTATCGCTAAACTCTAACCCTAATCCAGCCCAAAAGCCAAGTCTGACAACCCTAACCCTATGAATAACCCAACACTTAGCGCTAACCCTGAGCCCAGTCATAGTCCTAATCCTATCCTTGAGCCCGATACGAGCATTTTTAACTTCATTAATACTAGAGGTGGGAATCCGCGTCTCGCTCAACCCCTTTGGCGACCTATTGCCAGCCGAATTATTAAGAACCACACCGGCCCAAATAAGCTAAGAAGGTAGATTTTCGGACGCCCACCCAGGGATGGGGGGGGGGGGAGGCGGTTACTTACTATACCCTCGTCAAAGGTTTTTAGCTCTGAAAATTGCCTAAAAACCCTTGAGTCATTGCGATTCATTTTTATTAATTGAGCTACTACGGTTTCTGAGATTCTCTTCATAAGACCAACCGAGTCTTCAAAAAGTCCATGCGATTTTGAACAGGTAACATTTGTATGCAGTCATCATAAGAGCCTTTTCCTTGGGGACCAAGGGAGCCGTAGGTCTTTGTTAGTGTGTAGAATGCTATTAAAACATACCGTTTCTGGGTTCACCTGGCCGTGTAAACAGGACTACCGTTTTGCCCCCTACAGCGAGCTACACGGTAGATATGGCAGACCAACATGGGGCTACAGTAGGGTACGGTACTCGCTGTTGGACTGCGCACCCACAATAAATGCCATACATGTGTGTGGTGGCACGCCTAGGCCCAGACTCCAGCCGCGCCAGCCACTGCGCCCGATCTCGCCTCCGGCCTTCTTAGCTCTGTGTCGACACTGGGCCCAGAAGTGCGAGGGAAGAGAGGGTGCGGCGTATGCAGCGTAAACCTACTATCACAGTAAACTAACTTATGCGGGAGTAACCGTCCCTGCGTCCAGCCTTTCGGCGGAGCATACGGTGGACTTCGTCGGTAACGATGATCGAACTGTCACCGTCTGATTAGATGATTCAACGGCATCCAAACAGGATTTCGCTGCGTTCGCAATGAGTTCATCTATGAGCTTGTCCTACTGCCTCAGCCCACCGGATTCGACAGCCATGACTTCGCCGATATGGCCTTTGAAAAGTGCATCAGATGTTGTGAGATGAGTTCTTGGGAATTTTCATTCGATTATGTACCTGTAACGATTGTTAATATACGCTGTGGCCTGGTCTGATCTTATTTCGCAGTCGTACCGGCAATAGACAAGCCTCAGCCTCGCTCCTACCCCCTACCCCTAACCCATAACCGCTAACAAGTAGGCTACGAAATAAGATCTTGTCGAAATGCTTTACTACGAAGATGGATTTTTCGCGTGTGCAGCGTTGCCTTAATTTCGATTTTGACGAAGCGATTCATAATCTTAGTCCAAGGGTTATCCCCCCGGTTCCCTATTTAACTGCTCCGTTCCCAGCCGTTCCAGTGAAGTTTACCTCTAGAGCCATTTGCCAACTTTACCAAACTGAATTGTAATTGATCAAATTTTAAATTCATATGAAAAGGGCCCAAGCTCATGTGAAAAAGGATAACCGACAGTGGTTGATTAGAGAGCCGATTATCTGTTTACTGGGCGAAAATCTGTTAAAGTAGCTGAAGTCCATTCTGAAGACCGTCAATTTGCAACTTAAGAAGTATCACTGTCAAAGGAGATCGGAATCATCAGTTTTGGTTTATTTGAAAGAAGTGGTTTAATGTACGACTGGTCGACGAAGGCTAATAAATCGGAAATGGCCATTCTGGTCCCCCTGTTTTTTGGTAGTACGAAGGTCAAAACGAATGCCCATCATACGATCCGATCAACTCGGTAAGCGTTACTGCTAAGTAACTTTTGCCATTTCCATTTACAACACACAGAGCATGAGCGTGTGGCGCAGACATTAGACCGCCGATTTTCATGACCAACTGGACCCGGCTTAAAATATTAAGTTTCCCAATTTGAGGTTGGGGGCCTGGTTGGCTGATGACGGCAAATATATCAATACTAGCAGTTCTAGTTCTATTTGTGTTCTTTTAACGGAACTTATGGGCCATGGAGTGTTCGTTGTTACACTGTCGGCTTCATGGGATCTAGACTAGAATATAAAGACTAAAACGGCTGATATACAGTCGGCGACCGTCCTCATGAAACGTTAGCCGAAAGTCTAAAATGCGTTTTCGATTAGGAAAGACTACTTAAGTGGGGTCGCAATACCGATTATCTGGCGGTGGAATCCCATGATATTTCTGTCTGTGTATTGCTTGCACTTCTTATCCGCGTTACTTTCAGTATTGTCGAAGACTGGTCCGTCTAGGTTCCCTATGACATCTTGATGCTGTAAACACTGACTCAGTT